CTAATTATGATTAACAGTGATTTCACTTTGATAATGCACAGATGAAAAGTGTTTCTGTAGTATAAGGTATTTGAAGGCGTCTCTGACGACTATTTGGAGTAGATAATAATGGCGGTGGTGGAAGAGGACGGTGGTCCGCTTGCAAATATACGTACTCGTCGAAAATTTAAGAAATAGATTTAACAATAGGTTTTCAGAAAGGTCGCAATTGTGTGGGGTTGTGTGGATAGCAAAGGAGCAAATACGGTGTATTATTGTTAACTGAGAACAGAAGCCACTAATTTTTTTTTTGTCAGATGGCTCGAGTCGCCTACTTTTCTGTTTTTCGTTACGTAATTGGTAGACTATTTCTAGTGATTAATGTAAGCTGTGGTTGTTCCACATTACCCAGCCGACTGGCATTGCCATGCGCAAATTTCGTTTCTCCACCCACCACTAAGCTTGCTCAAAAAGTTGTGGATGGAGAGAGTCGACGCAACAAGGACAAGTTAGAAGTTAGAAGAAGGTACCAGTATTGACTCCGCACTGTCAAATCTCGCAAATATTCTTTTGAGGAGCGGAAAGTCAAGCCTTGGGCATCCTTTCAACCCTCAAAGCGTTGAGATGATTACGATGTGTTTGCAGCTTTTTGAATCCTTTTTGAGAGCGAGCGACATAATGTTGGGATGGACTGTTTCTCTGTTATCATCTTCTAGCAGACACAGAGTGGAGCTTGCACCTTTCGACGGCGTTGAAAGGCTAACGACCGGATCTTAAGGCTTATATTTGCTATACACTTCCTTGAAATTTGTTCAGCTCTAGCTTTAAGAGTGTAAAACTAACACAGGAAAGAATCGTTTCGATTTGGAATCGTTTCTTTTTATTCTTTTCTTATTTCTGCTTGGAATTGCAGGCGGGACACCGCAGCATCTTCAGCATGGGGACGCACAACGATTCGCATCGGCGAATTCTTCATGTGAGTTGGAGGACTATTCCAAAAGTTGCTTCTGACAGCGAGTGGTGGTCTTCTAGCAAACAACTCACCAATTCCGCTTCATCTACAACAGCAACAATTTTCTCAAAATGTGGAAGGTAGTGATCGCCCTGTTCCTCCTACTTGTGGGGCTGAAACTATCTCCTCGCAACCTAAATCAATCTACGAACAAACACCTTTCTGTAAGTTTTTCATATGCTAAAGATTTCACAGGTGCAATCTGACAAGCATTGTTTTTAGCACAAGCAGATGGTAGTTATTCTGGGCAGTCTCCTTTTTCGGTAGGTGCTATGCAGACGACCACCAACATGCCGAGAAGTAATGAGCAGACATCTGCACTTGAAAGTGGGAAGATAATGGAATACGTAACTCTTTGTGTGGACCACTTTTCCATTTCCTTCTATACCTTTGACATAAAGTATTAATCAGTTTCCACCTAAAATGTTAATCATTTTCCATTTCAGGTGCCCAACTTCAGCAACAAGGTTGTATGTAATAATTGAATTTCAATGTTTTCTGTCTTGTGGCTTTTTACTTGTAGTGTCTGAGTTTCTATTTGTTATGTATCGCTCGGCAGGCAATAGAATCATCACTTGTTCTTCTCCACTGCAGCTAATTCTTAGTAGATGTGCGGTTGTTACAGGTACGTTTGATCCGTTTTCGACGCAACAGCAAGGGCAAGCTAAAATAGGCAGCGATATTGACTCCGCTCTGTCGAATCTCGCGGATAATCTTTCTATAAGCGGAAACAATCAAGGGTGGGCAAACTTTTGTTATCTCATTTCTTACTGCTTTGGTAGTTTTACTTACATCCACTTGAATTACGCTGAAACTTAGAAGTTTTCCAAGCTGCTTGTTCTTTATAGAAGAGCTTACAGTTACCACTTCAGGCGCCCTGTGCAGTGGGGTGGAACTCAACAACAAGGTACGGCACAGATGCAGATTCCTTCCTCGGTCCCTGCGCCTTCTGTTGGCGCTCCTCCAATGGCTACATATGGAGCTCCCTCCCAGTATACTACACCATTTGGGCAATACGCTCCACAAGCTTATCCTGGCGGACACATGCCGCAGTGGCAGGTTCAACCACATGGTGAGTTTTTTAGCTTACAGTTATGGAGGTTGTCGCCACGTTTATTGGATCCTCACTTTAACAAGATCAAAATTGACTTCAGTCTTCCCAGCCCCGCAGCACACTCAAGGCCCACCATCTGGTTACCCTGTCTATGGAGGAGCTGCTATGGGATACGGACAAGTATCCCAACCTCATCCTCAACCAGGACAAGATCCTTTTGGATTTTGAACAAAATGCCATGCTCTTAAATTAACACTTCTTTTTCAAAGTAACACTTTTGTTTCACTTCCGAAGGATGTGTTGCTAGAAAGAATGGTTCTATATGTGTTGAGATTTCGCACTCCCATGTTTTTTCGGTTCTCCCTGCAAACAAAATGCTCTCCACCGCTCGATTTATGTGTTTTTTGTGTGTTGGTTGGGATATTTCGTCGTTTGCTATATAATTTATGTCCAACTCTGCGGATTTCATACATAATGTTAGTCGTTGTAGATTGAGGCATAATATGAGGTAATATTTACGTTTTAGAAGCGTCATGTAGTAAAATATATCGTATTGCATACTATTCTTTGATCGCATNTTGAGATTCTTGCTGTAGGTGCACTTGCTTTGATGTGGTCAGTGTTGTGGCAGGCCCTTGTAGCATTTTACATTTGTTTCGGATGTGAAAAACTTTTTTATTGTGTTACTACTTAAGTAATAATTGAATAGTTTGCTTAAGGTCACTTTGAATCTAATATTAGATAATGTTGTGAACCTGTAGCAGATTAGTAGGTGTAACATTTTTTTGTAAATGAGTTCCAGAACAGTATACCTTAAGTGCTAGAATAAGAGTAGATATATGATTTTATTTATTGACCCGTGATTACTGAGGAAAAGAAGAATTCGCTACAGCTTACGCGAAACGCGAATGCTAAGAAATGCAGAAATGTTCTTTAATATAGTTTTTCTTTTGTATTGTCTCGTGAATGGTAGTTTCCTATTTATTGGTGTCCGATCCGTTTTAATATTTTATATTTTCCGACTGGAAATTCACTGAATACTCACTCATAAATGTTAGTGACTTTGTTGAGATTGGGAAGTAATCGGGGTTAAAATCGCTGGTTGTTTATACTACAGCTCCCGAATGCTGCAAAATCGTATGATATATAATATGTGACACTAATCGCAGTGCTTACTGAGTACTTCGCTTGGCTATAGCTTTTGCGGCCCGTTGACATCTGTATCTTCAAATCAATGCTGCGATGTGGAACTGCTCTTGCTCAGGGGTGGGGGAGTAATGTACAACGGTACTGCTTGTTTCATCATACTCCAGTGAGAGT